GAGCGGCGTCGCGCTGCTCCCTCCTGGCCCCATTGTCCGCTGCCCAGCTCCTGCCCGGTTAACCTTTCCTCCGCGGGGGCTGATCCGTTTTTCTCTTATTTTGGCCAGGGTTGATTTCTCTTCAGTCACCACCTCCTCCGGTGTCTCACCTCAGAGGTGTTTGCTTTAAAACTGGTGTTTTACCACGGCAACTCTGTCACAAATGAGGTGTCTGTATTTCTCTTGTACGGCGTATTTTTTTTAAAGATCTGATTTTTGCTGCTTGTAGAGTGCAGTGGTTAAAATACGTGTAAAGGCCTCTGAGTAAGCAGTTTGTTTTCCCAGAGCCCTACGTACAGGAAGCCCAAATTAGTGCCTCCTTGCTTGCCTGGGTGCACTGAGCGCTGCTCTGGTGAGAGTCAGGCGTCGTCACAAGGCTGAGGTTTTACATGCCGAAAAAGTGGCGTCTCCGTGTTGTTTTCCTCTAAAAACCACAGAAATTGTGTTTCTTAAACTTAATTTCTATGGTCCAGGGTGCCGTTCAGGTTGCTCTGCTTTTAACAAGTGGTTCACCGTATTGAACGATACTTAAAAAATCTTCAGCGTGTGCAATCGTATGTTCTGATGGCAAAAACCAGTTTGTACTTGGCTGTCCTTGCTGTAGTTCCTAGGAAAGCAGACTGACTCTGTGTCTTAAAATGGCCATTCTAATGTAGAATTAACTTGAGTTAATTGCCCGTTGCCTTCTGAAGGCCCTGGGCATGGTCTGCTTTCCCTGCTCTTCTGTTGAGACTCTGAAACTCTGACACTGATTTGATGGTTTTGCCTGGCTCCTGTCTGCTCCTGCCCCGGAGGAGCCGTGGCTCTGCTTTTGGGATGATCCTGCGTGAGGGAGTTGCTTTGTCAAAACATGCAAGGAGCTCATCTGGAGATGCTGCTTTGGGAAGTGACCCAAGGGTTTCACTGGTGCTGCTGAGGGTTTCCCCTTATTGCGTAGGAATTGGCCTGTTCCACATAAAGTGGAATCATGTAAGTGTTTTTTATGAAAGGCTTTATGGGCTTTTCTTTTAGAAATGAGAGAAGTTTTAATCCCCTACTTAAGGTTGACACAGGACAAGAGAATGAAGCTGAAGATGCAGTAACTGATTGAGAGAATGTGTGAACTGGGAGCGTATTGCACGTTTCTTGAGTAAAATTCTTCAGTACTGTTGCTGCTTGTTTCATGCGGTGTTTGTTATCAAATACAACGATAGTGCAGGAGTTGATAATTCTGGGCAAATAAACCAGCTCTTCCCGTTGGATAATGCTGAATGCTGTCCCCTGCTAAGGCTACTTTATGTAAAACATTTCCTGTGTGAGGCCCGCAGGAGGAACAGGAAGTGAGGGAGATTGCTCTGGTGAGTTCGGGAGGTTTGGAAACGGGGGAGGTTCCCCGTTCCCATTATGCTCTGCTGGAAATGCTTTTTGAGGTTGTGAAAACCCCTGGGTTAATGTATGCATTTTAACTGAAGAAATGTGTGCTCATGGAGTAATTCTGTAGAATGACTACGATTTGTGTAGGTGATGGTGCAGATGGGTTTGACTAGTTCATCAGTGCAGCAAACCTGTCTGTCCTGGGGAGCAGAGCCTGGGGTCCCCATACGGAGCCGAGCGCTCCCGGAGTCGCTCCCTTGGAAAAAGTAGCTCTGGAGTGGCTGTGACTGTGGAGTGCGGGGTGTGGGGACACGGCAGCGTGGCTGTGCGAGGAGCTGAGCTGCCGAAGATGGAGCAGGGTTTAGCTGCTTGGGGAGTTGGGAGTTGTGCAGGAGGGCGGAGAAGGAGGCACCAGTAACTGTGAGTTCTCTAGTGTAAAACCACTCTGTAGAGTTGTTCCGAGTGTTTCAGGTCTCCTCGTGCTCTTTCAGAGGTCACTGCCCTGCCTCCTCTGCTGTCTTCCCTTCCTGCTGCTGCAGGCCTGTAGGCAGCAGCCTCTGAATGCTTTGCTGTGCAGTGATGGTCGGCTGCCTGAAAGATGGGGTGAAACGGGCAGTGCTGCGTATGTCAGTCTGAAATGATCACTTCTGCTCTCAGGTTTGCATTGCTGTTTTGCAGTGGTTTGGAGTTTATTAAAGCAGTAATCTTCAGTGCAAGGGCATAGCTGAAATTCTTGGGCTGCCTTGAGCGCTCCCACCAAGCAGTGCAGGTCCTGTGCTCCAGGAGGTTGCCCAGGGCCAGCGTGCCAGCCCACAGACTGGTCCCACTGCCTCCATCAGTGGAAGAAGTTGCTCTGAGTAGGTGGATGTTGTGATATATGATGTTCACTGCTGAAGAGAGCAAGCATGAGTTGCTTGAGGTACAGTTAGTGCTAGTTTTCATGCTGGTTAATCAGGAAGTCTCATTTTAAGGAGGCTTAAGCATATGTGATAGAGTTCAGTAATTATTTTTTCCTTCTGATCTGTGATAGGGAAAAATACTCCTTGTTTTCCCAAGCAGAAGAGCTGATGGAGCAGTAAATGCTGTGTGGGGCATAACCCGCTCCAGGAGCTGCCTTCACCTCTTCACCTTCATTGCACTCTGGCCCCAGTGATGTCAGTGTGGCCGGGGGCTGCTTTTGGTGTGGTGTGAGCTGGCTGTGGCACCACTGGAGTGCTGCCATCGGTAGCCTTCGTTGTGGACTCAATTATTTCACTAGACCCCTCTTGGCAGCCTGGCAGGAGTCACTCCTTTGGGTGTACAGTGGCTGAAAACCACAGAAGTGGATACTGGTGATGGGTTGGGTTTGAGGTGGCATTGGCACCACATTGCTCTGGGGAATGCCGGGCTGCGTTGACCGGATTTTTGGCCGTTCCCCCATGGTATGTACCTCCCCTGCAAGCAGAGCAGGCTCCCCTCTGGGGGCAGAAGAGCTGCAGTTCTCGGGCACTGCTGGGTCTGGGTCTCCACCATCTGAGAATTTCCCTTTGTATAAGCTGTCCTTGGCTCACTCGCAAAGAAACTGTGCGCTTTGACTTGCTTTTTTCTTACTACTGTAAACTATGCTGGATATTTGTGGCAAACCTATCTAACTTTTTAATCCTTTTCTTTCTTTTTTCTACAGCATTGTCCAAGATAAAACAGTTGGTACAAAGGTAGGCACTTCTCACTTTTTCTCTCTTTTTACACTGCTCAGCATCTGACCTGGTTGTAGCCTCACAAATGCAGATCTTTGGCTTTAAAGGGTTATTTCTGGTACCATGTAGATTGGTTTTAACCAGAAGGTTAATTCGGTTTCATGTCCATTTAAAACTTTTATTATGGCTCACGCTTAGCTCTTGGCATTTGGATGTTGATTATCAACTGTCAGTAAAGAACTTTATTGCATTTAACACAGCCCTTTCCTCTACTGAAATGTCACGCCATGCTTGTTACTTGTGTGCTGGACAGCAGTTCTCAATGGAGAAGCTGCTGCTTTCTTTTTTAAGAGCTCTGTTTCCTTATATGAATCCCTGTTCAGTTGTATGTCAAAGATCCTTCTGCCACAGAAAGTGTGTAGCTGTTGATTTTTCTCTGGGCAATACAGTAAATAGGACCTTTACCCTCCCAGTCTCAGGTTTGGAAAGTGCAAACTTAGCCCCGTACTGCAAAGTGCTGCCAGGAGCCTCCTTATCTGCGTGCGTGGAAAGGGCAACGGTTCTGTTGGGCTAAGGCTCCTTCCTAGGAACTGAACTGCAGTGCCAGCACAGACTGGCGCTCCTGCTCTGTTCAAGGGTTGGTCTTTTACTTCCTCAACCTTGCAGCTGATGCTCTGCGATGGGGATTACAGCCAGCTTGGCCCTGATTGGTCTTTTAATTAGACAGTGTGCGAGTGGCCATCGGAGCAGAGATCTGACAGTTTCAATGGCCCGAATGTGTGGTGTGGCATCTTTGTTGTGAACCAAGACGTAGATGTCTGTGAACAGGCTGGCAAGTGATGGGGTGTGACAGCACTGATCCAAAGTGCAGCTGAGCTTTGGTGTGAGCTCTGCAAGGTCTACAAGTGGAGTAGGGGAGTTAGTGTGCTCCCAGACAGCAAATACTCCTTTACTGGGAGTACGGAACTCACTGTGGCTGCTGTGAGCACAGCATGGTTTAGTGCTGCAGGGTTTCTGAGAGCGTTACACGTGCGAAGGTGCTCTATGTCATGGCTGTAGGGGAAGAGTTTCTCTAGCTTTTCCTCCTCCGAGAATCCGAAATGTGAATTAATTGTAGTGCTGTGATGGTGTCTGGCTCTGCTGCAAGGAGCTCAGCTTGCCATGGGAGGAGGAGGAAGGGCTGGAGCCTGGGCAGAGAGGATGGTTAATGCTTCAGAGCTCTTGGAAAAAGGAGTCTAAGGTGTCCCTTTGCTGCACCGCAGTTTGATTCATCTTCTAACAAACCCGGGAAGTCCCCCGGTTGGTTTTAAGTCATTGTCTGCAGCTTTAAGAAGTGGTTTTCCATAATTCAGTTTGACCAGGAAGTGACTGAAGCTGTAACTGTAGAGCTCAGTGCTCTCAGAAGTCTCAGGATGTGGTGTCGCATGGCTCATCGCTCCTGGCTGTGGGCTGCTGCAGTGCCCGGTGCAGCACACTTGGGTGTCTGAGACGAGGAGCGGAGAAAGCCCAAGTGCTGTTACTCTTAGTGCAGGACAAAGCTGTAACCACGGCTCCCCAGTTGTCCAGTGGGGACAAAATCGTGCATCAGAAATGAGGTTTCTCGTCAAGTCAGGTGAAGCAGGTTTTGAGAAAATTGAACCAAAATATAGGGAGTGGCAGAAGCAAAAAGGGAAGTTGAATCATCTTGATCAAGGTAAGTTTTAAAAGTATTGTGACACAGCCATGTTGTCTATTTATGTTTAAATAAGGCACTGAACGTGCCAGTGCAGATCATGCAGTAGCAGTACGGTACCTAATGTTATGGTGTAATGTCACCTGCCGTGAGTTTGTGTGGTGAGTCAGTCCAGGCACAGCGCAAAGGCCTCCCATGGGCCTGCTTTCCTCATCCCCTCTGTGCTCAGGATCCCCTCGCTGCAGGGCTGATGCATGGGGAGCTGCGGGATCTCTGTAACCAAATTGTGTCAGTTCTTTCCTGCAAATACTTAGAAGGGAAAACCCTCACTGGCTGCAGCTCTTCTAACTTTTTGGTGTTGCTTTTGTGAGTTGCTTCCACTTCCATTATGCCGCTCTGGTTTCCCATGCGTAGTTGAAGGGACTGCAGGAGGTTTCTGTGCTATCCCAATGTGTGTCAGACTGCAATAGCTACAGTGTGGAGCTGTGCTCATCCATCAGCAGTTGTGTGATCCCTGGGGCACCACTGAAACCCCTCTAAGGATTGACTTATGCCACTTCAGAGGCAGATATTCTTGATGAGTGCTTGAGAACCTAAAGTAATGCTGGGGAACTGTGGCTTTGTGATCTGCTGACTTCAAAATATTTTCATAGAAATGAGATTCAGGTGGAGATAAACCACTTTGTCAGTGTCTGTTTGGAAAGCTTGGCTCCAGAGAGATTGCTGGCTGAGCTTTGGAATTAGATGAGAAAATTTGAGCTAAAGAACTGTTTTTAATGTGAGGTGTAAGCTTACTCATTCTTGCCATGTATGTACAAAGGAGGTAGGAGTGGTAGTCCATCAACTGAAAGGTATTACGAGATGACAGTCCCCAAAAGTCGTCAGCTCTTGTCATACTTGAAGCTGCTCAGGGTTCCTGAGACACCAGTGCAGCTTTTAGATGAGCTGAGATGTCCCAGAATGGGGGAGTTCCCAGACATAGGTAGGAAAGGGGCCTGGAACGTCAGCACTGTGGAGCGTGTTGCCAGATCACTTGGTCGGCACCTGGTTGTCTCCTGCTGTGCTGCTGGGTGCCCAGTCTGACCTGGAGGACTTGTGAAGTGCTGTCAGAAAGCTCTGCCTCCTGGTTTTAACGGCAGAGTGCTGGTGCTGTTATCTTAGGGTTTTCTCCCATCCTTGATTACCATATTCAGGATACCTGCACCCACTTCATTAACCAGTGAGGCCTCTGTTACACTGAGGTTCTGTAGATGTAGAGGTCCTCAGGTGTTCTCTCTGTTCCTGGTGGAGCACTGCACTGTGCTGCCTGATGGGCTGCTTTTTAATCAGTTCTAATGCAGGAGCCATCCTGGGCTCCACAGTGGTGCTGGTCCAGGGCTCTTAGGTTTGCAGTGTGTGAATTTGTTTAGGAAGCTCATTACAGTTCTGGTGCGGGGCTCTCCGTGCAGATCAAACGCATGAGCTCAGACTCATTTCTTCCCATCGTTTTGTGCTGTCTGCAGAGGAAGAACACATGGCCTGGAGCTGGAGACACTGTATTTGAACTCTGAGGGACTGCAGTTGCTGCTCCTAAGTAATTTGATCAAGATCATGCTATCTCCTTTCTCTTTCTTTAATTTGCCTAGATGGTACTTTCTGAGGGGGCTCCAATGGTCTCTGAGCAGGACTGGCTTACTAGAAAGAGTATGAACTGTGGTATGTCATTATTCTCTCAGGGAAGTTGCATTTCAATGGTGGAAAAAGTCTGAATAGTTTAGCTACTGAGTAATCTTGACGCTTCCTAGTTAAGTTGAGCCTTTTTGAAAAACGATGCTTCCAGGAAAAGAAGTGGTGCGTTCTGTGGCATTGGAGAAGTTAATGTTTAAAGCAGGGGTTGCTGGGTTGTGAGGCAGGCTTACCACAGCAGTGATTTGTGACCAGGCCAGGAGCTTTGCCATGGGAACAGTCATTATGGCCTGGGGCCGCAGCCAGGAATGCGGGCAGGAAATTCCAGTCCCCTCCACTGGCTGCAGCGAGCTCTGGTGGCTTCAACATGCGTGATCACACGTGTCAGCCACGTGTCGGCAGCCAGGTACGTGGATGGCAGTGTCGGTATTGCTGTGTGGGTGTTGCAGTCTTCAAGCACTGCGTTCAGTTCATGGATAACCCGCCCTTGCTCCCTGGTTGGGCTGGGAGAGCTGTTTAAGCTCCGAGTTGAGTTGAACAGGACTGTGGCAGGATTGCTGCCACAGGCCTGTCAGCATTAGAGGTGTCTAAAGAGGTTTCTCCATCACAGCTAAGCCATTTTGTGTGTGGAAGGTAACTCCAGTTACCTGCACTGGGAAAGGAGAAGCTGTGATAAAATTTTCTGAGACTTCCTAAAAAATGATCAGGTAATGAAGAAGTTGTAGAAAATATTCTGTTTTAACCTTGGGTCTCCTTTGCCCTCTGATGATTTTAAAAAAATCCCAAAGTATTTAACACAAAAGAATTTATTCAACTTTATCTTTTGAATCCCACAAGTGCAGGACAGGCTCTGGTCTGGGTCCCTGCATTGTCAGAGCAGAAAATGCTGATGTGCTGTGCCACGTCTGTTGCCATCTCCCTAGCCAGAGTAAGCACTATATAATCCCCATTTCTGTGTGGGTCTGGTGTAGCTGTCATTCAGGCTGCATATGAAAACCTGTCGAACACTGCTGAGTTCAGCAAGCGTGTGTTGGTAATCCCGGAGTGACGACTGCTCGGTGGTTGCCAGATACTGCACCACAGCCATGGAGGTTGGATTGGAGTTCTCAGACTGCGAGTTCAGTTTGTGCTTTACAAATTGGGTCACAAAATGCCCTTTCCTGGGGTCCCTTTCCCACAGTGACTCACCAGCAGTGTTTCTGATCGCGTTTGTGCTGAGCGTTACCCTGTCTGCTGCACCTTGGTGGTTTAAAAGCTCAGGGTTTGCTGCTGGTGGAGTTTCGGGTTGGAAACAGCAGATGTAAAGCCTGGGTGTGTACTGCTCTGCAAACCAGAATGACTGCATTGCTGCAGGCTGAGCGCTGGAATGCGGGGCTGTTCAAACCACACCTCGTGTTTGCTCAAAGGGCAGGGTTGTTTCCCAGGGAGTCTGCATAGCAGCGGAGGCTGAGCAAGAGAAGTTGAGAGTGGCTGGGCTGAGTGGGTCAGATCTGGCGTTGCTGTGTGCTCCAAATGCGTCCCACTGCAGAATCGCCTCTTAATAGCTTTAATGCAGTACTGAAGCTCCTGGTGTCTTTTAGGAGCTCAAAAAGCTGTCTCTGTACTGTAGAAACGGTACCAGCTATTGCAGTGGTATATATGGTAGGAAGATAATTTTCCTAAGCACTGAATTCTCTGCAAT